CCTTCACTGCTGGTGGGAACCGACGGGTTCAGCCCTTTTGGAAAACAGTATGGACGATTCTCAAAAAATTAGAAATTGAGCTCCCATTTGACCCAGCAATACCACTCCTGGGAATATATCCCAGAGAGGCAAAAATGTATAGTCGAAGTGACATCTGCACTTGTTTGTTCATTGCAGCACTGTTTACAACAGCCAGAATCTGGAAAAGACCTGAGTGCCCGAGAACAGATGACTGGTTAAAGAGACTTTGGTACATCTACACAATGGAGTACTATGTAACTATTAGAAAAGATGAAGTCATGAAATTTACATACAAGTGGTACTACATGGAAAGTATCATGCTAAGCGAAATGAGTCGGAAAGAGAGGGACAGACAGAAAAAGACTGAATTCATCTGGGAAACATAAGGTAACAAAACAGGAGACTAACACCCAAGAATAGCCGAGATAAGTACCAGGAGGTTTACGCCATGGCTCAGAGGCCAGCTGCACATGCTAGGGGAAATGGCAGCTCAGATAGAGAAGGGAGCACCAAACAAAGGGTGTTGGGAGGATCCTCCCAGGATGGGAGATGCATGCTGAAAGTAGACTATAGATCGAACATGATTGCCACTCAATGCCTCTTTTGCAAACCACAGCACCCAAAAGGAGAGCGAGAACGGGGGAAATGCCCTGCCAGAGGCGGGGTAGGATGGGTGGGGGAGGGATACTGGGATCACTGGTGGTGGAGAATGGGCACTGGTGGAGGAATGGGTACTCGATCACTGTATAACTGAAACCCAAGCACAAAAACTTGTTAGTCTACAACTGTACCTCATGGTGTTTCACTAATAAAAATTTTTTGAATAATAATAAATAAAGGATAAGATCAACTTCCCAACATGTGATACTAGTGTGGCTAATAGTGCCATGTCTCACTGGCACATGTCTCACACAGGCACCACTCACTAATAGTGCCATGTCTTATGGTTGTCCTCTACCAGATTAAGAAAGGTCAACAACATAGTAAACAAACGTCAAAAATTGACTTTTCTTATTTTCTAATAATCCCATTTGCCATTCCTTTAAATTTGGTTGAAACAAGTAATATGAAATAAATTTGGAGGGCACCTGGGAACACAGATGAAGGTAATGGGAATATTGGCAGTGGGATTGGTGTTGGAATACCGTATGCCTGAAACAGCTCTATTTCAAAAAAAATGTTTTGTTTTTCAATTTTGTTTTTGGTTTTTGGTGAAGCGAGATAGATTTTACTGGAACTTTTTAAGAAGGATATGAAGGGCAAGAAAGAGAAAAGTATGTGTTTGAGACAGAACTTGGGCTTCTCCAGAGTCGAAAGAGGCAAGCAGAAAAACATTACGAAAAGCAAGAAGGATTCATGTTCAATGGAGAACACGGGCTTGAAGAGGAAGCCTATTATGAAAACATTTGTAAATCATGGTGTTTAAATTTTTGTGAAAATTGTTGTTTTTGTTTTGGGGGCCATACCTGGTGGTGCTTAGGCCTTACCCCTGGCTCTTTGCTCAGGGATCACTCCTGGAGGGCTCAGGGAACCATATGAGGTGCCAGGGATTGAACCTGGTTGACTTTGTGCAAGGTACACACCCTATCTGCTGTACTATTTCTAAGGCCCCTTAAAAAAAATTGTTAAGCTGTACAAATAAGCAATGAAACATATACTGTCATCTATCATGACAAATACTAATTTCTTTTTTTGGGGGGCGGGGAGGGGAACCCATCGACGTTCAGGACTTACTCCTAGCTCTGCAGTCTGGTGGTGTTTGGGGCCAGATGGCGGGCTGGGGATTGAACCAAGGTCCACTGCGTACCTGCTATACTACCTAGTCTTATGAAAAAATGCTAATTTCAATGTACTTTTTTGCTAAAATATACTTTTAGGTTATTTTTTAATTAATTTTAAAAATAGAAAGATCTATGGCAAATATGAGATTAAAAAAACATAGTAAGGGAACAACAAATGATCAAAGTCAACAGAACTAAAGATTTTGTTCATAGAACTGAGTTTAGTGGGGGAGTGGGGAGGGAAACACTAAGTATCTCTTGGGACACTGATGGAGGAAAACAGGTTTTCTGGTGCTGTCGAAATGACATAACCATGAAAGGTATAGTTAACAGTATTGTAAATCCCAGTCCCGCAACTGAAAAATGGTTTAGAAAACAAAGGTATTCTTGGAGTGGGGAGGGCATGTGCCTTGCGAAAGACCAACCTGGGTTCAGTCCAACCTGGGTTCAATCCCTTGTACCGCATAAGGTCTCCTGAGCATACCAGGAGCAATCCCTGAGCGAAGAGCAAGGAACAATCTGAGCACCGCAGATACAGCACCAAAACGAAAACAAAAAGATATTCTACATAACCCTGAATGAAAATATGAACCTCCAATGTTGTATTTTAACTTCATCCAACAAACATTTCTGAACTCGAACCCTTCACACTAGTAGGCAATACCTAAGCAATTCGGAATCTGATACTGTGATAGATAGATACTGTGATAGGCAGGTAGAGGCACTGTTCTCATGGATCTTAAATGGCCTTACTTACAATATAAAATCACAAATTTAGAGGGCTGGAGAGATAGCACAGTAGATAAGGAACTTGCCTTGCAAACAGTTGACCTCGGTTTACCCCCAGTACCAGATATGGTCCCCTGAGCACTGCCAGGAATAACACTTGAGCACAGAGCCAAGGTTAAGTCCTAAGTATCACTGGTTGTGGCCCCAAAACAAAAACAAACAAAATTTGTGAATTTAAGTTTAAAAAAATGTACATTGAAATTCAATTTAAAAATAAAGCTTTCAATCGTAATAAGTGTAATTTTTTTAAAAACTATGTTGGCATCTTAATTTCACATTGCATACTCCACATTTTTCTTTATCTAAAAAATGCAAACAATGGTAAATAAATTACACATTTTCCTATATCTGAAAAAAAGTAAGTAAAAGTAAAGTAAAGGCCCTCCCGTTGATCATCGATTTGCTCGAGCGGGCCCAGTAACGTCTCCATTGGAGACTTTGTTGTTACTGAGTCTGGCATATCGAATACGTCACGGGGAGCTTGCCAGGCTCTGCCATGCGGGCAGATACTCTCGGTAGCTTGCCGGGCTCTCCGAGAGGGGCGGAGGAATCGAACTCGGGTCAGCCATGTTGGCTGCGTGCAAGGCAAACGCCCTACCGCTGTGCTATCGCTCCTGAAAAAAAGTAAATAAAGATAATGCTACGATTTTTGTTAACTGAAGCTTTTAAAACTACAACTTATGAGCCAGTATATGGCTCAGCAGTAAGGTAACTGTCTCACCTGTGTCAGGTCTCATGTACAATCTTTAGGACAGCCAAAAAAAAAAAAAAAAACTAAATTAGTAAAAATCATGTAAATATGTTTTTAGCCATAAACCTTAACAGATCTAAAACTTCCCCTTTTTTGCCTTTCTACTGCATTCTCCACTCACAACAACTTGTACCGAGTGAGACAGAAAGCCGTCTCTACGGCTGAGAACACCAGACTCAAGCTACATATATTCTTAACCTGTAGCTGGAATAGTGAGCTATAAATCAGATATCTGATCTCTTCCCAATCAGTATCTCAGTCATTACAAATCGCAATTTAAAAAGTGTTCCTCAAAGTCATTAGTATTCCACAGATGAAAAAGATACAGCTTAAGACTTCAGATTAGCCATTTCTCCTTGCCAACCGCTTAACAGAATTCGTGAAAAAGAATATGAATAGTTAGGCGGAAGAAAGCATCACCTTAGGACTGTTACTTCAATACAGATCTGAAAACTGAGCACAAACCATTACCTCTTTTGTTTAAAAAAAAAAAATTCTTCTTTAGATTAGCACCAGATGCCCTGCAAACACTGAAGATCTACCAACAGTCTCTGAACCTAATTAACATCGTTACAAAGCACTGCGTGTTACTAAGTCTGAGGATCAATTAAAATGAAGTTCAGGAAGAAGCGTTTAATAATTGCTAAATATATTTGCAGATACACAGTATCTAATTATTTTATTCCCTGCATTCGGATATATGTTCCCCTGAGCACTGGCGGGCCAGGGGTCACTCGGAAGAAAAGCCAGGAGTAGCCCCTGAGCACCGCGGGGGTGGGGTGGGGGGGTGTGGCCTCAACCCCGCCCCCTTAAGGAGACTCCCAGGGCAACTTGAACACTAACTAGCAGATCAACATTAAGCAACACTAATCAATCCGCCGGATCGGCTAGCAGATTCAACATTACTAGATCGGAATCTCATTGGCTCCCTGATTGATTCACAGGTCATTTTGCTACGATGTCAGATTTTTCCATACTAATCGCATCTTCCCAAGAGTCTATTACTCAGCACTTCCTGCAAGGAGCGGGGCAAGCACCCATCTGTCACCTGCTTCTCGAAGATCTGGACTTTAAAAATCCTGACACGGGGCTAATGCATCCTTTTCTTTAAACCGGTCGGGGGGAGAGAGAGAGAGAGAGGGGGGGGGGGTCCGTTTCGGTCCTCATCCGACGGTCAGAGCAAAACCCGGGTCTTGCAAAACAGCCAGAAGCCGGGACGCAATCCGATTTCCCCGTCGACGCGGGCAGAGAGAGGCCCGACTCCCGTTTGCTGCAGGAACCCGCGTTGGCTCCTTAAGGACCTTCTCCAAGGGCGGAATCCCGGGGCCCAGCTTCGACTTTCCGCGGGAGGGACCGGGCAGGGTCAGCCCGAGAAAGCGACGCCCCGACGACGAGACTCCGCCGCGAGGAGAGCGGGCGGCGGCGCGGGCGGGCACGGCCCGAGTTCGAGGCCCGGCTCCCCGCCCGGTGCCTCGCTCGGCGGCGGCCAGACCCGGCGCCGCCCGGACCCCCGCGGGCGAGCCTGGCTCGGCCCCGCCACCCGCCCCGAGGCGCCCACGAGCGCCCCCGCCGCCGCCGCCGGCCGCCCCTCAGCCCCGGGCCCGGCCGCTGCCGGCCCCCAGCCCCTCCCCCTCCGGGCGCCCGGCCGCTCTCCTCACCGGGGTTCGCAGCGGACGCCGCCATGGCCGCGGATGCCCCCGCCGTCGCACCACCCCCCGCGGGAGGAGCCGCCGCCACCGGGCGGGGGAGGGGAGCGCCGCTCCCCGGGCGCGGCGCTACGACGCCGCCGCCGCCGCCGCCGCCGCTACCACGGGATCCAAGATGGCGGGCGCCACAGTCCTCCCCCGCCCCCCCCCCGCCGCGTCCGGCGCCGGGCAGAAGGCCCCGCCTCCACGGGGCGGGGCAAGGCGCACTGCCCGCCTCCTCGGGAACCGGCCAATGGGAAGGCTCCAGGGCCCCCACGCGGGCGGGGCAAAGGCGGGGCTAGAGGCGCCGGGGCCTAGCCCCGCCCCCGCGCGGCGCAGGGCCCCGGCCGAGTGACGCGCGAGGGGAAACGACTCTGGCTCCCGAGGCCGAGCGGGTCTTTCGCCCCGAGGGGCTCCGGGGGCGCGACTCGCGACGGTCCTCGCGGGCGCTGAGGCTCGAACGGCACGTCGCGGCTTGCGGGCCGTTGCGGAGGTCCTCCCGCCCCCGAGGGACTTGGTCCAGAGGGAGCAGCTCCCTCGCCGCGTCGCGGGTCCGGGAGCCCGAAGACAGCCCGGGCCCGGCTCCGAGGGCGCCGCCGTCGCCCCGCGAGGGAGTCGAGGCCCAGCCCGCGGCGGCGGGAGGAGAGCGGCGCCCGGGTCCCGGGAAGGTGCCCCTCGCGGGAGGGAAGGCGGGTGCCGAGTGTGTGGTAGGGAAGGGGGGAGGCGGGGTTGAGCTTGGCTCCTGGTGGGGAGCGCGGAGTGGCTTGGTTCCCGATGGGGAGCACGGAGTGGCTTCGTTCCCAATGGGGAGCACCAAGTGGCTTAGTTCCCGATGGGGAGCACGGAGTGGCTTCGTTCCCAATGGGGAGCACCAAGTGGCTTAGTTCCCGATGGGGAGCACGGAGTGGCTTCGTTCCCAATGGGGAGCACCGAGTGGCTTAGTTCCCGATGGGGAGCACGGAGTGGCTTCGTTCCCAATGGGGAGCACCGAGTGGCTTCGTTCCGAATGGGGAGCACGGAGTGGCTTAGTTTCTGATGGGGAGCATGGAGTAGCTTAGTTCCTAATGGGGAGCACGGAGTGGCTTGGTTCCCTAATGGGGAGCACCGAGTGGCTTAGTTCCTAATGGGGAGCACGGAGTGGCTTAGTTCCTAATGGGGAGCACCCAGTGGCTTAGTTCCCGATGGGGAGCACGGAGTGGCTTAGTTCCCGATGGGGAGCACGGAGTGGCTTCTTTCCGAATGGGGAGCACCGAGTGGCTTCGTTCCGAATGGGGAGCTCTGAGTAGCTTGGTTCCCTAATGGGGAGCACGGAGTGGCTTAGTTCCCGATGGGGAGCACGGAGTGGCTTAGTTTCTGATGGGGAGCACGGAGTGGCTTAGTTCCTAATGGGGAGCACGGAGTGGCTTAGTTCCTAATGGGGAGCACGGAGTGGCTTCGTTCCTAATGGGGAGCACCGAGTAGCTTAGTTCCTAATGGGGAGCACGGAGTGGCTTCGTTCCGAATGGGGAGCACGGAGTGGCTTAGTTTCTGATGGGGAGCATGGAGTAGCTTAGTTCCTAATGGGGAGCACGGAGTGGCTTGGTTCCCTAATGGGGAGCTCTGAGTGGCTTAGTTCCTAATGGGGAGCACGGAGTGGCTTAGTTCCTAATGGGGAGCACCGAGTGGCTTAGTTCCTAATGGGGAGCACCGAGTGGCTTCGTTCCTAATGGGGAGCTCTGAGTGGCTTAGTTCCTAATGGGGAGCACGGAGTGGCTTAGTTCCCAATGGGGAGCACGGAGTGGCTTAGTTCCTAATGGGGAGCACGGAGTGGCTTAGTTCCTAATGGGGAGCACCGAGTAGCTTAGTTCCTAATGGGGAGCACCGAGTGGCTTCGTTCCTAATGGGGAGCACCGAGTGGCTTCGTTCCTAATGGGGAGCTCTGAGTGGCTTAGTTCCTAATGGGGAGCACGGAGTGGCTTCATTCCTAATGGGGAGCTCTGAGTGGCTTAGTTCCTAATGTGGAGCACGGAGTGGCTTAGTTCCTAATGGGGAGCACCGAGTAGCTTAGTTCCTAATGGGGAGCTCGGAGTGGCTTAGTTCCTAATGGGGAGCACGGAGTGGCTTAGTTCCTAATGGGGAGCTCGGAGTGGCTTAGTTCCTAATGGGGAGCTCGGAGTGGCTTAGTTCCTAATGGGGAGCACGGAGTGGCTTAGTTCCCGATGGGGAGCACGGAGTGGCTTAGTTCCTAATGGGGAGCACGGAGTGGCTTAGTTCCTAATGGGGAGCTCGGAGTGGCTTAGTTCCTAATGGGGAGCACGGAGTGGCTTAGTTCCCGATGGGGAGCACGGAGTGGCTTAGTTCCTAATGGGGAGCACGGAGTGGCTTAGTTCCTAATGGGGAGCTCGGAGTGGCTTAGTTCCTAATGGGGAGCTCTGAGTGGCTTAGTTCCTAATGGGGAGCACGGAGTGGCTTCATTCCTAATGGGGAGCTCTGAGTGGCTTAGTTCCTAATGGGGAGCACGGAGTGGCTTAGTTCCTAATGGGGAGCACCGAGTAGCTTAGTTCCTAATGGGGAGCTCGGAGTGGCTTAGTTCCTAATGGGGAGCACGGAGTGGCTTAGTTCCTAATGGGGAGCTCGGAGTGGCTTAGTTCCTAATGGGGAGCTCGGAGTGGCTTAGTTCCTAATGGGGAGCACGGAGTGGCTTAGTTCCTAATGGGGAGCACGGAGTGGTTTAGTTCCTAATGGGGAGCACGGAGTGGCTTAGTTCCTAATGGGGAGCTCGGAGTAGCTTAGTTCCCTAATGGGGATCACCGAGTAGCTTAGTTCCCAATGGGGAGCACGGAGTGGCTTAGTTCCCTAATGTGGAGCACTGAGTAGCTTAGTTCCCTAATGGGAAGCACTGAGTAGCTTAGTTCCTAGTGGGGAGCACTGCGTACTGGAGGCCAGATAGTGTTCAAGCTGCTTTCTTAACTGTCTTCTCCTTTCTCACAGGGCTGTGAGAGAGTTGTTGTTAGTAACATTTTGTAACATTTTGTAACAACATTTTGTTGTGAGGAACATTTTGTAAGGTAGTTGTTTGTTAGTAACATTTTGTGGGTAAGGAAGCTTAAAGCCAACTCACCCGACTAGGAAGGACTGTCGTGGGAGTGAGTCCGAATCTGGGAACCGAGTCCGTCCTTGACAGTTTCAGCATTGCCTTTCCCCCTGTATCTCCACAAGTTGTTTAAAATGAATTGAGGGGCAGAGCAATAGTACAGCTGATCGGATACTTGCCTTGCATGCAGCCACCCCGGGTTCGATCCAGACATCCCTTTGTGGTCCCCCAAGCACCACCAGGAGCAAATCCCGAATGCAGTGCCAGGAGCAAAGCCTCAGCACCGCTGGGCATGACTCAAACACCAAATAAATGAAATGAACGAGAACATTAACAAATTCCAGAGTGTGGGATTGGATAGATAGCACAGCGGGTAGGGCACATGCTTTGCTGGTGTCTAACTTGGTTTTGATCCCTGGCACCCCATATAGTCCGCCGTGCCCTTTCAGGAGTGATCCCGGATCACAGAGCCAGGAGTAAAACCTGAGCAGAGCTGAATGTGGCCCAGAATGACATTTTCTTAATAAAAAAAAAAAAAGAAATTCCAATATGTTTAGGGTTTTTGTTTTGTTTTGTGTTTTGGCTCTTTGAGTCACACTCGGCAATGCTCAGGAGTTATTTCTGGCTCTGCATTCAAGAATTACTCCTGAAGGTGTTCAAGGGACCATATTGATGCCAGGGATCAACCGGGTGGGCCTCATGCATAGCAAACGCCCTACCAGCTGTACTATAGCTCTGACCCCCAGTATGTTACTGAACTTGTTTTCTTTCTTGTACTTCAAAGATTACTTGGATCTTCATCTCTCATTTAGTTAATGGAACGCTTCCTATTTTAGTTCTGTCAGTTTCTAACATCATTTGTGTGCTGTCGACATTTCTTCGAATTACATTTTTTTTCCTTGTCACTATTTTTTGGTGTTGTTTCTAGTTCACCGAAAGGAGAGACATCATCTGATCAATAAAAGTACATTGAAGTATAGAAGTAGTAATGAAAAAAGTAACAAGTGCTTCCACTCAAAATTTTGCAGTTAAAAAAAAAAAGACAGCTGCTAACTAGAACTTGTGCAGTGAAGATATACTTTATGAATTATTATGTGCTTTTAAGTGTGGCAGTTCAGGGCTGGAATGTGACTCAAAAGGAAAAGTTTATGCCTTGCATACAAGAGTCCTGAGCTTGATGCTGACACTGCACTATAAATGTGGAATATAGCAAGTTCATCAAAGTAGCAAAAGAAATCATGTAAATAGGAAAATTTGTATATTTTAATAGGCCAGTAATTCATTTCAATCTTTCTGGCTGTACCTTGACTCAGGAAATTTTGTCACTCAGTGACTTGAGAAGCCATTTAGGTTTTTGAGTCATTTTTGAGTAAAAACACAATAAAATTGCTGTCAAGTAAAATGGCTTTTTTAAAAAAAAATATGCAAAACAATGTTTTCCCTATGAAATGATGAATTTTGGGATTAACAGAAAAGAGGAAGAAGACTAGAGAAATGGTATAGAGGTTAAGGTTTTTGTCTTGCACTTGCCTAAACTCTGTTTCATTCTGGGCACAACATCTATTCCCAAGAGCCCCACGAGGAATGACCCCAGGACACTGAATAAGGAGTAAGCCCAGAGGAAATCTGAGTGTGGCCCAAACCCCACCCCAAAAAGAAAAAAATCATATTCCAACCCTCTTTAAAAAAAAAAAAAGATGCTCTCACTGCTATTCAACGTAATACTGGAACTGCTTGCCATAGCAGTTAGGCAAGAAAAAGATATCAAGGGCATCCAGAAAGAAGTCAAGCATTCACTATTTGAAAATGACCTGAAAATCCTAAAGACTACAGAAAAAATCCTAGAAATTATAGATTTGTATAATAAAGTGACAAGTTACAAAATCAGTATGCAAACGTTCATGGTGTTAACTCAAATTCAGGGGAGAAAGCAGTTGGGATAGAAAAGAGACCACTATGACAAAGATAGTTGTAAATGATCATTCTGGATAAGAACTATGTGTTGATAGTAGG